AATCAAATCGGAGATGTCGGAGCAGAACATTTAGCCGATGGACTGCGGCACAATACAGTAACTGTCTTGCTCTCTTTATCTATATGATGTATTTACTTGTACGTTTTCATTTAGACACTCACCACACTAGATTTCGTAGGGAATTAAATCGGAGCTGAAGCTAAATCTAAACGTGCAATATTTGAGTTTCTGGAACGGAATGGTAGTGGAGGACAGTCGTGATCATGAATCGGAATATTAGATATATTCGGATGACGAACAGATAGGAAGTGATGATGATGTTGCGGGGATTTTTTCTAGCGTTGTAATATTCGAAAAAAACAATAAATAAAAGTGCTGATTTTTAATGTTAGCTTGTATTCTAATGACGAGTTTTTGCTTAAGTTTTTCTGTATGTGGTGAGGGGATGATGTCTTAAAAAATAATATGATTTTTTCGAAGTATTTTACCACTCTGTAGTCACTGCAGAACTAGTGTGTAGTTGTTTAAGCAATAGTGAAAATCGAGAGAGTTCGTTTCAGTTAGAATGAGTCATAAATGGTTTTGTAGTGATAGCATACTTTTCAAAGATTGTTCCGTGTGCTTTTGAATGATAAAAGATTTTTTTTTTTGGTAATAGTAAAATCCTAAGAAGTTCTTTTGAGGGATACTGAAGCAGGATTCTGTCCGATGGTAGCGAACTAGAAAAGTTGTTCTCCGATATTGCTAACCTATAAAGTGTGTAGGGTCGAATAGTTTTGAGGAAAAAAACGTGGGTGTGGGTATTATATCTATCACATACCCACACCACCCTTAATTCGTGCATCTAAGTCAAGTTCTCCTTTTTCAACTAGAATCATAATATCCAATGTTGTAAATAGTTTACCGATTAAACCTGATCGAAACATGGTTTCAAGTTTTACAGGCATTTAGTTTTTGATGTTTGAATAACCATAACCTTGTTTAAAGATCATCTAATTATTTCTTATTATAGCTATGAAAAGACCTAAAATCTTTTATTTTGCCATTTCTGTTGGAATATATCCATCACTGAGATGATAACTATTCGTATTATAATACATACAATACCGACATAGAATGCATATTGGTATAATGAAGGTGTATACAGATCGTATCTGTGCCTTTCTCCTAATCGTGTTTCATTACGATATTATTTGTTTTTATATGTAGTAATCGACGTTCGTTCTGCATAAGTTGAAATTGATTGAAAATAAAAATCTGTTTACGACATTGATATATCTTCGTATCATTACTCATTTCAGACATAATTCAATCAGTATCTTTTGAAATTGTGAGTGTTGACGAAGGTGTATATTGAAAGAACATCTTCAACCACTCAAATACCCACATTCATATTCAATCCTCAATACAAAAGAAAGCTCTCTTACTACTGTATGTTGTTACATACATGACTCATGAATGTTGACATCATATTAACTGCTTATTGGTTATAAAGGTAATTTCGCAATCAAAAGTATTGCATTATAAATTGAAGCTGCGCTGTGATCATATTATTTTCGTTTCTTTATGGACGATTTTTCAACAGAAAACAAACCAAGTTCTGCACTGGAGTAAATTTTTTGTTTTTAATGGTGACTCATTGATATTTTTTTAAACAATTTTAGGAATGATTCTAGTGAAAATTACAGTACTTCAGCTTGTAAACATGAATCTGGTTTGTATATTTTCATAATCTATCAAAGTTACTGATATTCTATTGTTCTAGACGAAACACTCGATGATACATCAATTAACAAAATCGATACTTTCGATGACCTGAATCTATGTGAATCACTCTTACGTGGTATTTATGCGTATGGTTTTGAACAACCATCACGTGTTCAACAATGTGCTATGAAACCGTGTAATATGGGTTCGTATCTATCGATACTATTACTGATAAGACAATCATCATATTTACTTTTTATAGGACGCGATGTGATTGTCCAAGCGCAGTCAGGCACAGGAAAAACTGCTTCGTGTGTGATAGCTGTTTTAAAACAAATTGATCTAAGTATCGAAGATTGTCAAGCATTAGTTTTAGTACCAGCATGGGAGTTAGCTGAAAGTGTTCGTAGTAGAATTATTTATTTTGTTTAATAATAAATGACGATACTGTATTGTTACAATTTAGATGCGACGTCTATTCTCATCAATTGGTGAATATATGAATATTACTTGCCACGCTTGTATCGGTGGTACTGGTAGTATACGTGATGATTTGAGTCGTTTGGAAGCAGGTGTTCAAGTTGTAATTGGAACACCCGGACGAGTGAATGACGCGTTGAATCGATCAAAACTTCGTACATAATCTTTACATTACTTATAACTTTTGACTGATTTTATTTTAGGTAGTGATAATATTAAGATGCTTATCTTGGATGAAGGGGATGAGTTGGTATCGCGTGGTTTTGAAGATCAAATTTATGATGTGTTACAAAAACTGCCATCGAACATTCAAATGGTCATTTTCACTGCTACTATACCATGTGAACTGGAGAAAATTATCACTAAGTTTATGACAAATCCTGTTCGAATTCTTATCGAATCGAATAATTTTACTCTTGATCATGCTCGTCAATTTTATGTTAACATTGAACGTGAGGTACAAAGAAGAATCTTCTTTTAATATCGTATAAACATGTACGCATTTTTTGTTCTCTATGAAAAGGAATGGAAAATAGATACACTCTGTGATATACTTGCTTCAATAAACGACCCACTAACTGTTATCTACTGTAATACGCGTAAAACAGTTGATTTTGTGAACGAAAAATTGTCTGCACAAAACCTTAATGTTGCTATATTAGTGAGTTGAAAATAAAATTAAGATCTAATGAAGATTCCTTATTTAGCATGACAATATGAGTCAACAAGAGCGTGATACATATCTGAAGAAATTTCAAACACGATCGAGTCGCTTATTGATTGCCACAGATCCATTTGCTCGCACTATTTTTCCATATGCTGAGCTTTTTATTAATTATGACTTACCAAGGAGTATGGAAGCTTATATCAATCGGTAAGAAACTGAATTTTTTTTAGTACATTTAATTACATAGATTATATCGAGTTTTAGAATTGGACACGGTGGTGCGTATGGTCGAACAGCTACAGCTATTAATTTTATCAACGATAGTGAACGACAACAGTTACATGATATAGAACAATTTTATAATATACACATAAAAGAATTGCCTACAGATATTGCTGAGCTCTTTTAGAACTTTTCGATACTACCATATCATATATTCATTTTACTGGAATGTTTATTTCAAAATAATAGAAAAAAAATGAATTAGATCAACTGTATTCTTTATTGTAGGATAATCTTAAATGTAGAGAAAGGGGGTGGTCGAAAAATCATCAATTTTAACGCACTCTAGAAATGTCATAATACGAAAGTCCTTGTCACCCAGATCACGAATCTGACATCCGTTTGTCTAGATCTGATCCCTTTCTTGCCGTGTTTGCCATAGTGGGGTACCTGAGTCTCAGTAGGGTAGTTCCGTGAGGTTTCAAACACAAACAGATAAGTATTCAGAAAATTTTGTTTTCCCTCAAACTTTGTAGATTTTTTTTTGCTGAACATTTTCGTATCAGGAAGTTTTGAATTCTATTGCGAAATGACAACGCTATCGTCAAAATAAAAAACATAGTAAAATAGTTTAAATCCCATTTTTCGTTATAAAATATTGGAAATTGTTGGAAAAAAAAGATCAGATCTAGACAAACGGATGTTAGATTCGGGATCTGGATGATAAGGACTTTCGTATTATGACATTTCTAGAGTGCATTAAAATTGATGATTTTCGACCACCCCCTTTATGAAAACCTCGTATCGTATTCTGTAATCGAGTGAAAATCACATGTCAACTAGTGTTAAATAGAAACTATATTGAAAAAATCTATGACTACTACAAATATTCATGATAAATTTCTTTTTATATTATGTGTATCTAAATACTTTTAAAACAAATATTATATACTTATCCAAAGATATTCTTTAATCGCAGTCTCTTGTGTATACCTTATGCAAGACAATTTTTTCATTTCTATAAATCGACTTAATAAACAATGTGAGTGTGAATATATTTATACAAAAAAAAAATTAAAATATGATTTTTTTTATAATTAATTTAAAAAAAACAACGTTATATTGATTATTAGTTTTTTGTTACATATCACAATGAAATGTGTAAACGATTATTTTCATCTCCAAATTCAACTTGTACTTTATTATTTAATCCATTTAATAGTTTATATTCATCAAACCATGATATAAATAATTGTGAATCAATACGTGCATTTTGTTCATGAAATGCAATATGTATATCTAATAGATGTACAAGTTTTCGAAGACAATATATAAGCAAAACATAGATGTTTTCGGTATTTTTTAATTCAAAATAAAGATAACGTATATTAGGAAGATAAGTACTCATTTGACGAAGAATATCTGTTGAATTATAGCTAAGAATTGAAGCCATATCAATTGTTAAACTTGTAATACGAGTTAAAACTATTGAAATATGAAGTAATGATGCAGATACTCGAAGGCTTTGAACATTTGGTAATAAATTTAAGATTTTTGAAACTAGAAGAAAAAACATTAATTTATCAAATATAATTTACATTTTTTTATAATTACGAAAGTTTATTGGGTAAATTTGATCATACAGATAAATGCGTTTAATATTTGTAAGTACAGATGTTGAACATATTTTTTGAAGATCAGTTAAAATAGTATCAGTATTATATGAATCAGAATCAGTTAATTCAGATGAAAATGAAAGTGATTTTAGACTTGTATAAACACGATTTGGTAGAATAATATTCGAAGATGAGTTAGGATGTAGAGTAAAATGAAGTTCATATACTTTTTTATAATATGATTTATTGAATTCATTAGGAAAACTTGAAAAGAAAAAAATGATATTCTTTTTTTAATTATTATTCAATTTCTTTTTTTTCTTACTTTAGTTTCGAATTATTGAAAAGTTCTTGTGAAGAATATATCTCTAGACCGTATAAATATGTTCGTATACTATCCTTTTGACTAGGTAATGTATATAACATAAGATGTCTTTTTAATAAAGATTCAGAATAATATTCAATAACAACTGGCCATTGTTGCCAAAAGAAACTAGAGAATGTTTGTATGATTTTATTAAGATCAATTTGAGTTCGTAATGGTATATGTGTTTCATTAATAAATAGACTGAATTTTTTTAATTGTGGTAAATAAGTCGTAATTACACGTTCCCAATTCGATCCATTCGAATAATCTTCGATGAGAAGTGATGAAAATGATAATTTGATAAGTTTAGGTAATTGTCGAAGAAGTATTTCGATCTCAAAAAATGGTGTATGAGTAACATGTAATGTTAAATGTGTTAAATACGGAACACAATCAGCAAGATCAGCATAGAGAGTATAATCAAAATCATCTTGATTTATTGATGTTACATTAGGTCTATTATAACACATTATATTTAAGAAACGAATATTAGGTAATCGACGAAGAAGTGGTGCTAAATGTTGCATATAACAACCATTCAATGTTAAATGTGTAAGCGATGTACTTGTACCTACAAAATACATATAATTTCTTTGATTTTTTTTATTTCCTAGAATCTAATTTACCAATATCAGTATCGAATATAATTGAATCATGTAATGCTAAATAAAGTCGTTTTAATAATTTCATTTCAAACAAAATTTTAAGTAATTTATCTGAATAATTTGGTGTATGTCGTGCTCGTCCAATTGATGTAACATGAAAATATTCAATATTATGTACATAATTTAATATTTGATGCAGACTTGTCATAAGTGGATCCCATAAAATCAAACATTTAACACGATCAAGAATAGCTTTTCTTGTTTCACCATCAATTTCTAATTGTTGATCATTTGTTATAAAACGATTCATACGTCCATAGGTATCAGATAATCGTAAAGTATGAATTTGTTCACGTGCATTATATAAAACAGATTTATAATAAACATCGAGCAAATATTTAGGTAATGCATTTCCTAAATCAATATTAAGTGTTTGAATATATATCAATGTATTTAAACGTTGATTGAGATTAAATAATGATATAAATAAATCTCGTGGGCGGCAGTATGTTAATATATCAAGTAAAAGTTCATTGGGAAGACATTCAAATTTTGAGATTATATTGGTCATTGATATATATATATATATTTATCTAAAATAGATTTTTAAAAAAGTTTAATCTAATAACAGATAGGTCAATATTTCGAAGTAAACTATTCTGATGTTTTATGTTTAAATATGTATCTGTGAAACGAAAAAATATAGATTCGTAGTTTCTATTGAGTAATAATTGTAAGTATAAACACTATCTATTCATTTTGAAATGATGTATATGTTTTACGAAATACCTTCGAAACAAAATTAATATTTACTCTGAATTTGAAAGGTACTGTTGCTAAGTAATTTGTGAATCTGAATAAATATTCGATGTTTTTTCACGAATTCAAATGGATAGGGTTTGAGATCATTAAGAATCGTTTTAATATTAACCTTGGAGTATAATCGTTCACGAAGCTCTTCAAACGATACAGTTCACTGTAAAACAAAATGAACTATTTCTTTTTTTTTCTTTTCTTCAATATTGATAGGTTATTCTATTCATCAAAGACAATAATTTTCACATTTATACGAAAGAGGCCGTAGGTTACCATTATTATTCTCGTCTTAATGTATATTTTATTACGATTTTCTTCAGTTAATGGTTTGCATAGTGAACAAATTTACACAAAACATTTCTTTGTATATGTAAACTTCTTTTAGAAAGATTTTTCTATTAAAAATTCAATATAATCTCTTCATATTGTTTAAATCATTAATATTATTCTAACAATCCAAAGAACACTGACCTTCATATACAACATTTATTCTGATACACATTCATTTATTAGCATATTTTTGACAAGATAATTTATTTTCTTAACATTCATTTTACTTATTCTTAACAGAAAAGAACTCACTATCAGATCGTAATAGTAGCAAAAGGCTACTTTAAAAATTGCATTACAAGAAGAAAGGACAATCGAGTGGTAGTTTTTGACTTAAAACAATACGTTCACTTTTTATCGAATTATTTATATCAACATCTTCATTCGTCGGAATTCTCGGCCCTGATGAAACCGATTCACTAAAAACAGATCAAAAAACAAACTGATAAAATTTTATCGAAATATAAAACTTACGTGTCTGATTGATCATCACTCTTAACATAAAGAGCTGCACGAGTTGCTAATAAATCAGCATATTTCACTGGTGTTGGGATGGAAACTGAACGAGTACATCGAGAATATGTATAACAAAGTGCATATGTTAACATCTGAACTTCATTTGGTTTTAGATTATTATCATCATATAATACATGATAATGAGTTGGTCGACTTGTGCCCTAAATGATCAAAGAAATCCTAAAACATATATCTCATCGATTAAGATTATCTTACAAGTGCACCATGATGACTATTCAAATAGAAATCATAATGAAGAGCATGAGTTACATCATGAGAATCAACAACAGTACCAGCTAAAACATTCTTTTCTGATGTAGTTGGAAAGAATCGTGTATGATGTCTTTTGCTAACAACAATATATGTTAGGTATGGTCTGTAACATGGTGATAGTGTAACACAAGCTTCACGTATTGATGTAAGTTCTTTTTCGAAGACAGAATCAAATTCACCTTCAGATATGCCATCTCGAAAGAAAACAATTGCTGTTGGTGGATAACCTCGTAGTTTTTCATATTGACTAATTAGAGATTTCATAATTTGTTTCATGTCAACAATATATTCTCGACTTTCTCCACGTGTTTGTGATGGTCGGTGTTGTTGATAAACTTCTTTAAAATATCGATTAGGTATATCATCAGCTGATGCAACCACAGCGACAGTTGAAATTTGATTAGCAGTGCCTGGTGCTGGATGACTAAGATCAGCGCCAACATACATGATGCGATGACCACGTGAAAAGAATCGATCGATAGTGGAACTAAAGATGTATATTCGTATGTAAAGCTATTGTTAAATTAGATTTAAAAATGTATCGAGTAAAAACTCACCTGACATTCAGAACAGAATTAATTCCATTTAACTTTGTATTTATTTTCAATAAAATATTACGCAGTTTTGCATAATCCCATTTAGTTTTGTTATTTCTAATGCCGATAACGACGTTACTCTGCCGAACCATTTGAGTGATTATTCCCAAGCCAAATTCTAATTCGCACTATAATAACAAAATAAGATATATCGTTTTTCAATACTTCTGCCGATTTTACCAGTTTCTTCAGACTATCATAAATCTGTGTTCTCATTATGCTTTCATTAGGCAAGATCACAAGAAAAAATTTACAGTTATGATTTTTTCTTGTTGTATCTCTCAACATATCTTCGATTTGAGCCATCCCATTTTTTGTAGCATCAATTTCCTCATATATTTCAGGTACACAACATCGAATACCATTATCTTCTGCCACAAAACTTAGTTCATTATAGAAATCTATACATTCTTGTTTACTGATCGATGATAAATTCATCAGTCCCCAAACGCTTGGAAAATCGGCTGGTTTATAGAACTTTGTTGACTTGTGTTCCCAGACACCTAGATCTCGAACACCTTTTGAAGTAACCCGATATTGATCAGTATAAACTATCTCTGGCATAGGTAGTACACGTGCTGGTAACTCAATCATTCGAGCATCTATATTAAGATTCCAAGCAGTAACAAATGGATCTCGTTCGAAACATTGTTGTTTAGGATCTTCACGAATCTTTTCAATTGATTTGTAATGCATGTCTGGCTTCATTGTCGAACTCCGACATACAAGAGCTCTTTGTTCATCAGTGATTTTCTTCATTCGAACAGGTTCAACATCAACAAGTTCCATTGGTAAATATGATCCATTATGCATCCCTAATGTAGGTAATGATGGATATCTACATATTAAACAATAGCAAAAAACAAAACAAATAGAAGTATGTGAAACATATTATTTCATTTTGACTCACTGTAATTCTACATTATAATGTTCTTTATAATAATTCTGAACTGTAATCACTCGGTTTTTGCTTGATTTCCATATAAGTTCTTGTTTAGATGCTGGCAAAGCAATTTTTTGAATCTCATAAATAATAGGTTTAGCTGCATCTTGTGATCGAACACGAAGATCTATTGAAGTAGGAAACGTTTGTATATATCCGGGCGAGAAAGTATCAACTCGTAACGGTCGGTTACGAAAGCCCAGTGTTTTTTTAAGTTTTACTGGGCTTTCGTATCGCCTTATTGACAGGGCTTTCGTAATCAAAACTTAATGCACTTTCTTATCGATTTTACAGGGATATCGTATCAGTTTTGACAGGGCTTTCGTATCACAAATATACAGACTTTCGTATCGCATTGATAAAGTGTACCTATAAATTCTACATCACCTTCGTATCGTTTTTTGCAGGGTCTTCGTACCGCTCATACAGGGTTATCGTAAAGCCAAAATTGTTAATATTATCTCAAATTAAATACTATTAACAGAGCTTTCGTATTGATGTTAGTATTTTATCAAAGTAACCATGAACAAAGTTTAAGAGTAGCAAGAAAGAACCAGAATATAAATGAACACATCTTAATCTTTTTTTAAATTTATTTCTTACAACACAAAGAAGATATGAAGAACAAAAAATAACACAATAACAATAAGACTTTTTATTCGCTACGAATGGATCGTACTTACTAACTAAACATATATATATATATATATGCTCTCAAGAGTATTCGCAACGAATACCTTGTTTTTTTATGGAGTATTAATCTTTTAGCTTACGTATCAATGCAATAAAAAATTCGGTACGAATGCCCTGTTAAAACTGATGCGAAAGCCCTGTTAAACTCCGGTATAAAAGCCCCGTTAAAACTCGATACGAAAGCCCTGTCAAAATCGATACGAAAGCCCAGTTAAACTCAGGTACGAAAGCCCTGTTGAAAAAACATGACAGGGCTTTCGGGTTACGAAAGCCCGGTAAATCCACCGTTACGAGTTGATATTTCCCCATCCGGGCAGACGCAAAATTTGGAAAAACACATTTAACCGCTGTAGTTTTGGACAGCAATTGACACCCATACATACTCAAAAAGAGCATGCAAAAACGCTGTTTCTTGCGTTTTTATTTTGAGCATGGATAGCTCACAGTCGCGGTTGAAAACTACAGGCTGCAAATGCGTTTTTCCAAATTCTTGTCTGCTTGAATAGTATAGAAATTGAGAGACTTACGTTTACAATATTTCAGAAGAAAATCTAGTTCATGTTGATAGGCTGGATTATTGATATCAAGAAAACTAAGAACATCTCCACCATCAGCTTTTGAGATATTTCGTTGACGACCATATTTTCTTTTTCCAGATGGACTGTGTAACATGATTTCACAGAGAAACTCAATAAATGGTTGTTTTTTCATAAAGACTGTATGCTTGACTATAAGAATATGTATAGGAAGAAGAGTATGTAATTGATTGTAGATTATGTTTGTTATAAATAAAACTTACCATCAAGATTCATAAGGAGATGATGAGTTCCTTTGGCAAAAACGAGACATGAATAAAATCCACGCCACAGTGCTTTACCTGATCCAAGATCCCATTCTCCATGTTGTCCTGCTATTGTTGGTGAAAAAAATGATCGATCATAAATAAATGCTGCATGTGATGAACAATGCTCATGTAATACTATCGATAACACATTTCTCACTTCTTTAAGATCCTGAATATTATCATTTGATAAAGCTTCTGGATGGAATAATTCATCTAAGTTTCCAAGCAAAGATAAATCAACTGGTCTTCCGACTCTTTGAACTATCACTGTGTGTTGTTCTTGTTTATTAGAACGATTAGGACCACTGACGATTTCACTAACACCCTGAAACAATATTCTATAATAATAACAATAAAACATAAAAGATAATTATATTTACATCTTCAAATATATCAGGTAGTGGTTCATCAAATGTGAGTAGTCTTGATTGATTATCAAACACAATTTTATGTTTATCAATTTGTGGATATTTTTGGAAATATGTTTTTAGCCAAATGTTGTAGAGTAAACTGAAATATAAATAAATATATTGGTAAGTATGAAGAAGATGAAAGAGGTGTAGTTACCGTCGTCGATCACGATGAATTTCCAAGTTATTCTTATTCCGAATTTGAATTTGATATTTATAGACAAGACCCTTATGTGGAAATTTTAGAATGGGAAAATAGTTGGCAATGACTCTGATTTGTTCACCAAGATCTCCAAGTCGATGAGGTTTTTCTGGTCGATAGTTTGAGTGGAATTGTTCTTTTGTTAAGTTGTTCACAGTCCAATGAGGATCTGCTGGTGCAGTATTTTGTTTCAAACGTACACCACCACGACCACGACCGAGTGAAGTAATGAGTGGAGCAACTACTGAAGAATGCGAATCACTTGAAGCGGATGAGAATCCAGATTCAGATCGATCATCATCGTTGGTTGAAGAAATACCTGATGGTAATGATGTACCGATAGAACTAGTCGTAAGATACGAGAGCTGTTGAATGAGTCGACCACGACCTCGACCTCGACCTTGTATGGGTTGTGACATCGTCTAAGTGATACGTAGATACATGGAGAATGAAACAAACGTCTGCTTTAAATACTTTGGAGATTACGAAATTTGGATTTTTCCAAAGTCGGAATTTCCAAGTGAGGCAACAATTGTAAGTTAGTTTATTTAACGCTTATGTAAGAACGCGAAGCCTAGTCTTCACAATACAACTGTTCTCATAACAAATTAAAGCATAGTTGATATAAAAATAGAATTATAATGCTGCTGCAATGCGATTTTAATATATTCAAAATAGATATTCATTACTAAACACTCCATAACGAATTTAATGCTAACATATTCCTAATAAAATCGTTTACTTATATAAACATAGTTTATCTAAAGAAATAATGAAGAGAAAATAAAAAATAATTCTCCAAATTCATTAATATTTTCTTTTTATATTTGAAAATAAAATAAAAAGCTTTAAAGACAAGATAAAATTTAGTTTACAAGTATTCTATAAAAAAAAAGTATTTTAAAAATAAATCAAAGTATAGAATAAATGTATATCATAATGTCTATAGAAAGAAAGGGCAGTCTGGTGGTAGTTTTTGATTTAAAACAATACGTTCACTTTTTATCGAATTATTTATATCAACATCTTCATTCGTCGGAATTCTCGGCCCAGATGAAATCGATTCACTAAAAACAGATCACAAAATAAACTAACAAAGTCTTATCAAAATATGAGACTTACGTGTCTGATTGATCATCACTCTTGACATAGAGAGCTGCACGAGTTGCTAATAAATCAGCATATTTTACTGGTGCTGGGATGGAAACTGAACGAGTACATCGAGAATATGTATAACAAAGTGCATATGTTAACATCTGAACTTCATTTGGTTTTAGATTATTATCATCATATAATACATAATAATGAGTTGGTCGACTTGTGCCCTAAATGATCAAAGAAATCCTAAAACATATATCTCATCGATTAAGATTATCTTACAAGTGGACTATGATGACTATTCAAATAGAAATCATAATGAAGAGCATGAGTTACATCATGAGAGTCAACAACAGTACCAGCTTTAACATTCTTTTCTGATGTAGTTGGAAAGAATCGTGTATGATGTCTTTTGCTAACAACAATATATGTTAGGTATGGTCTGTAACATGGTGATAGTGTAACACAAGCTTCACGTATTGATGTAAGTTCTTTTTCGAAGACAGAATCAAATTCACCTTCAGATATGCCATCTCGAAAGAAAACAATTGCTGTTGGTGGATAACCTCGTAGTTTTTCATATTGACTAATTAGAGATTTCATAATTTGTTTCATGTCAACAATATATTCTCGACTTTCTCCACGTGTTTGTGATGGTCGGTGTTGTTGATAAACTTCTTTAAAATATCGATTAGGTATATCATCAGCTGATGCAACCACAGCGACAGTTGAGATTTGACTAGCAGTGCCTGGTGCTGGATGACTAAGATCAGCACCAACATACATGATGCGATGACCACGTGAAAAGAATCGATCGATAGTGGAACTGAAAGAAAAATAATTAGGAGTATGAAAATTTCATTATGAATTATGAATGAGAATTGTGATGCGTGTTAGAAAGATATTTCAAGTTTTATAACTTACGCGAATAAACAATAACTGATTTTCTTGTACACTATAATTGTCTTTACTATACATTTGATGACTTAAAATATGTATGAGGAACAAGCTACATGGTTATATCGAAAGATTTTATCTTACTAATAGTACCAATGATATATTTTCTACTGAATTTCATTTTTATAAATTTTTCAAAACTCAAAGAACTTCAAGGTAACGGTAGAAATATTATTAAATGATTTTTTAATCGCAACATGTAGAACAATACAATAATAATATGCTCAACTATGCTATTTCTCAGAGAGATACAATATCATTCTCGAATCTCGGAGAACACATCGTTTTGTTTATATGTTAACGTTTATAAACCTGAAAGCGTTGTTATCAGTCATAAATATAATATCTACTTTTAAAAATGAAGCGTCAACTGTTATTATAAGTAATGTCGTACTGCACAATATTTGTAGTATTGTATTTAGTCTATATACTGCGTCAAAACTAGTCAAATAAGTGAGAATAACAGACTTACTCCGTTGTGAGAATTGAATTTGTCCCATTTAATTTTGTATTGATTTTCAATAAAATATTACTTAGTTTTGCATAATCCCATTTATTTTTGTTATCTCTAGTACCGATAACGGCGTTGCTTATCTCGATCATCTGAGTAACTATCCCTATACCAAATTCTAATTCGCACTAAAAGAATAGATGAAAAAACAATCAGATCATGTAATTCTTTTGCAATTTATTTACCAGTTTTTTCACGTTTTTATACGTTTCTTTGTTTGTATGATGGCCTTTAGGTGGTAAAATGACAAGAAAAAATTTGCAGTTACCATTGTTCCTTATTGTATCTCTCAACATAACTTCGATTTTAGCCATCTCGTTTGTCGTAGCATCCATTGGTTCATATATTTCGGGCGGACAACATCGCATACCTTTAACTTCTGCCACATTTCTTAGTTCATCATAGAAAGCTTTACATGCTTCTTCGGTGATCGGTGATAAATTTATCAGCCCCCAAACGCTTGGAAAATCGGCTGGTTTATAGAACTTTGTTGACTTGTGTTCCCAGACACCCACCTCTCGGACTCCTCTTGAAGTAACCCGATATTGATCAGTATAAACTATCTCTGGCATAGGTAGTACACGTGCTGGTAACTCAATCATTCGAGCATCTATATTAAGATTCCAAGCAGCAACAAATGGGTCTTGTTCGAAACATTGTTGTTTAGGATCTTCACGAATCTTTTCAATTGATTTGTAATATACATCTGGTTTCATTGACGAACTCTTACATACAAGAGCTCTTTGTTCATCAGTGATTTTCTTCATTCGAACAGGTTCAACATCAACAAGTTCCATTGGTAAATATGATCCATTACGCATTTGTAATGTGGGTAATGATGGATATCTGCATATTAAACAATAACAAAACAAAATAAACAGAATTATATCAAATATGTTATTTTATCGACTCACAGTAATTCTGTATTACGATGTTCCTTGCAATAGTTTTGAACTGTAGTCACTCGGTTTTGGTTTGATTTCCATATAAATTCTTGTTTTGATGCTGGTAAAGCAAGTTTCTGAATTTCATAAATAATAGGTTTAGTTGCATCTTGTGATCGAACACGAAGATCTAATTTAAATATGCGAAGTTTGTGTATAATATAAAAACTGAGATGCTTACGTTTACAATGTTTGACAAGAAAATCGAGTTCATGTTGATAGGCTGGATTGTTGGTATCAAGAAATCTAAGAACATCTCTACCATCAGCTTTTAAGATATTTTTTTGACGACCATATGTTCTTTTTCCAGATGGACTGTGTAACATGATTTCACAGAGAAACTCAATAAATGGTTGTTTTTTCATAAAGACTGTATGCTTGACTATAAGAATATGTAGAAAAAGAGTGTATAGTTGATTGCGGATTATATCTGTTATGGGTAAAACTTACCATCAAGATTCATAAGGAGATGATGAGTTCCTTTAGCAAAAACAAGACATGAATAAAATCCACGCCACAGTGCTTTTCCAAGTCCAAGATCCCATTCTCCATGTTGTCCCGCTATCGCGGGTGAAAAAAATGATCGATGATAAACAAATGCTGCATGTGACGAACAATGTTCATGTAATGCTATCGATAACACATTTCTCACTTCTTCAAGATCTTGAATATTATTATTTGATAAAGCTTCTGGATGGAATAATTCATCTAAGTTTCCAAGCAAAGATAAATCAACTGGTCTTCCAACTTTCTGAACTATCACTGTATGTTGTTCTTGTTTATTAGAACGATTAGGACCACTGATGATTTCAATAACACTCTAAAACAATATTCTAGAATAATAACAACAAAACATAAAAGATAATTATATTTACATCTTCAAATATATCAGGTAATGGTTCATCAAATGTGAGTAGTCTTGATTGATTATCAAACACAATTTTATGTTTATCAATTTGTGGATATTTTTGACTAAATGCTTTTAACCAAATACTGTACAGTAAACTGAAATATAAATAAATAAATTTATATCGATAATTATGAAGAAAATGAAAAAAGTGTCGTTACCGTCGACGTTCACGATGAATTTCGAAGTCTTTCTTATTCCGAATTTGAATTTGATATTTATAGACAAGACCCTTATGTGGAAATTTTAGAATGGGAAAATAGTTGGCAATGACTCTGATTTGTTCACCAAGATCTCCTAGTTGTTGAGGCTTTTTTGGTCGATAATTTGAGTGGAATTGTTCTTTTGTTAAGTTGTTTACAGTCCAATGAGGATCTGTTGGTGCAATATTTTGTTTCAAACGTACACCACCACGACCACGGCCGAGTGAAGTAGGCGGTGAGACAACTTCTGACGAACGGATATCGCTTGAAGCTGTTGAGAAACCTGTATCAGGTCTACTCGTTTCAGGTGTTGGTAATATCGATTCTTGGACAATAGAAGCAGCAGAAGTTGGAGTAGTTTCAATACTAGTTGGTGTTGAAGTATTGGAGACTTCAGTGCGAGAAGAAATTGATGGAGGTGCAGGACTAGATTCATGAGTTGATCCTCGTCCACGTCCTCTGCCTCGGGTTCCTTGTGATGTAGACATAAAAACAATGGCAAATATAAAAATCTATACCGCAAATAACTTAAAGCATGCATTTATATATGATGCTTGACAGTTTTTTTCACTGGGAATTTTTCCAGTTTGTTCTTTTTCTTTTTATGGGTTTTTATAGGATACTCTATAAAGAGAAAGCGTTCTTTTTATTGTTTGTATGCGAAAGAGGCCGTGAGTCAACAATACCATTAACATAGAAATTCTTCGCATGACGTATAACACATTTTTTTTCCACATATGCTTGATGTCTTTTTCTTTTAAGCGAGAAAAAGTACGCATTTTTAATTTGTAATAGTAATTAATATTAAAAATTGTAGTGTTTTTAAGCATTTTAAAAAACTACTTATCGTTTGTAGCAACATAATAGTATTGAGTCTTTAAAAAGAAAAATGTTAAAACGAGTGTATCGGCATATAATTAAAATACTATGGATAATATCAAAACCATATAGGTTGTTGCTGGCTATATGAAAAAAGTCTGAGAACTGTCTCAATCAATCTAAAGAAAATATTAATATATATATCATTTTGCAATTAAAAATTATAAATTCTTTCAGTATATTACACCTTCATATTTATTCTGTATCACAGTACAAAAGGAAGCATTCTATATCTCTAAAAGATATAGTTTTGAAGGTAGATGAAAACATTCGAAGAAAAAAATAAAGCAAAAATACAAATGAAAAAAAGTAAATGCTCAGATCCAAATAAACCAAATAAAAAAGTGTTTTTTTGTTAGTTTTTATGTTCGTAATTATTTAATTAAACACCGAATTGACAACATTACTGATTGCTGGTGCTATACCTTTACGACAATCATTAAAATTTGGTTGATGCATTGATAATACACAAAGACCATAATAATGAACACATGCTGCAGCTACGACAAATATATGAAAGATTTGATGACTTTGAAACTAAAAGAAAAAATTTAGAAAAATCTAAAAACTAGAATAAAAGTCTTTACCCATATATCAAAATAACCAGGAGCCAATCGTTCTGGTATACGAGCTATATAAAAGAAGAATAGTATATATCAATTAATATTTTCAACTTACCAGCATAAAGACAAGCGCCTGTAATATATAGAAGTGCCATGACGACTAACCATTGAGCAGCACCAGCTGAAATATAAAACAAAAAACTTAATTCTTCTACTAATCTATCCAACGTACTTGTAAAAGCATATTTAAAACCGAATAATAACACATAATGACATGTTGGAACAAAACCAAAAAGGCCAAATGCCATAAAAAGAACTATATACATCAAAATTAAAATTATAATTCTATACAATAGGAAAACATACGTGCACGGCATGTCCGATATTCTGGTGTAGCAAATTTATCCCACATAGACGCAATAATACATCCGCTACCTAATAATGCCGTAATCAATAGATAGGCTATTTTTGTTCCAAATTCACAATAGAATCCATAATAAATCCATGGAATAAATGAAGCAATAATCAAAATTGATATACCACAGTAATCAAGTCTAAATATTTGAATATTTAATTCAGCAAAAAATAACTATTCAACATTTTTATTCCTACTTGCTAAAAACTTTCGAAACCTGTTGTGAATGACAACTTAATGTATGATATAATGTTGAAAATAATAAACAAGTAATAGCTCCAAGAAAAAATAAACCAAAAGTTATTTTCTTTTCGATAGGTACTTCACTTGATGGACGTGTTACCAAATAGAAAAAAATAATAACAAAAATTAAAGTACCCACTAAATGAGTCCATATATTAACTGTTTCAGTATGAATACGAAATATTGATGCGAAACATTGATTAAAACTTGGCATTGGTGGACGATGTCCTGAGACAAGATATTCATTATCAAGTAACCAATGTGGTAGATGAGTATGATCGACAACATATTGAACAACAAGTTTTCCAACTTCTTTTGCTTGTTCAACACATTTTGTTGGCACGTCAAGTACTGTATCGATTGAATCATCCTTTTCATCACCTGATGGAGTAGAACGACTTCGTGAATAAGTCGATTGACTGTCCTTATCATGATTAGGTTCACTCTAGAAATATAAATTATTGCTATAATATAATAATAGAATAAATTTTGTATCGTACGATTGTACGATCAGCTAATAATCGTCGTCGAACATCTTGTTCATCTGAATCGTAATTCTTAACTAACGGTTCGTTTTCCATCTAAAAGTATCTAAAATAGAGATCATATTTGTCATATGAATCTATATAGGTTTTGATTTAAATCAGTAGGGTAAGAGAGAAAAAACAGTGGAATGTATTTTTATAAAAGAAATTTAACGCTTTCTTTGATAGTACATTGAAATATAAATGAACAAATGCAGGACTAAACACTAGAATTAGCGTTTAGCAAACTTTGTTTTTCTATCAAAATTGCAAAGTTAGAAAAATGTTTGCGCATAATAATATAAAAAGGAAGGACAACTGGAGTAACACATATGTTTGCAAATAGGAGAAACAACAAAAACACATAATATACACGTAGTTTTAAACGAGTAAAAACACGTAAGTAGTATGTTCGGGGGTATTTTTAATTTGATTAAGTAATCAAAGAAGATATTGGAGTTGTATCTGAATTTAAAATATTTCGACAATCTCCAAAGTAATTCGTTTGATTATGTGATAATATACAAATACCATAATAATGAACGCAAGCTGCGACTACAACAAATATATGAAAGAGTTGATGACTCTGAAACTAGAATAAACCAAAAGAAAATCGATTAGTCATTGAAAGATAAATAGAATTAGTGTTCTTACCCATATATCAAAAACACCGGGAGCTAATCGTTCAGGTATTCGTACTATATTGAAAACATAGAAAGTTAAATCAATTAAGATTTCTTTTTTGTTTATTTACTAGCATAAATACAGGCACCAGTACCATAGAGTGCAGCTACCAAGAGTAAATATTGTGTGGCGCCAGCTGAAATAAAAATAAGAACAATATTATTGATTCAGTGTAAAAAACGTAATTGTGATATATGACCAATCACATTAACATTGACTCACATACAGAAACGTAATAGAGACGTTAGTCATCATACCTGTAAAAGCATGTTCCACACCAAATCGGAGTATATAATGGCACGTCGGAATAAAACCAAACACACCAAACGTAATAAAAAGTACTATAAAAAAAAAGTATCAGATATATGTAAAATTATAAAATAAATTTACAAGCTCGATAGACACGATATTCGGGTGAATTAAATTTATCCCACATTGAAATGACTATACATCCAATACCTAAGACACCAATTAATGTTAAATAAGCTAATTTTGTGCCAAATTCACAATAAAATTGATAATAAAGTAGAGGTATAATTGATCCTATTATCAATATTGCTATTCCGCAATAATCAAGTCTAAATATTTTAATATTTAATTCAGCTAAACAAAAACTATTCAACTTTTTTTATTCCTACTTGCTAAAAAATTTCGAAATTTTTGGTGAATGACAATATAATGTATGATACAAAGTCGAACATAATAGACAAATAATAGCTCCAAGAAAAAATGCACCAAATATTATTTTTTTTTCCATATGTATTTCAGTTGATGGTCGTGTGGAAAAATATATAGCAATAACTATAAAAACTAAAGTACCTAATAAATGAGTCCATATATTAACTGTTTCAGTATGAAGACGAAATATTGATGCAAAACATTGTTTAAAACTTGGCATTGGTGGGCGATGTCCGGAGAGAAGATATTCATTATCAAGTAACCAATGTGGAAGATGACTGTGATCAACAACATATTGAACAACAAGTTTTCCGACTTCTTTTGCTTGTTCAACACATTTTGTAGGAACTTCAAGTACTGTATCGATTAAATCATCTGTATGATCACGCAAATCTCCATAAGATTGATGAGAAGGATTACGATAATAAGTATTTGTTTTGGGATCGATAATTAACGATGGTTCACTCTATAGATAAAATATACGAATGAATATTAGTGTATAATTAAACAAAAAATGTTCTTTTTTAATTAATATGTAATACACATCACGAAATATAAGTATTACTGGTTATTCATTATCTCATATTAGATCAGTAAAGATTTTATATCGCAGAGAAAAAGGAAAGGAGAGCAAATAGAATATACATATAGTTATCATTACTGATTAATTATATAAGAAGAGCCATGATCGACTATAAGGAAAAAGAATATTCTTTCATAGAAATCATATATTCAGATTTTTTATTAATATTCATATACCTAAAAATTCTTTTTTTTTTCGAATTAAACTCAATATAATGTATCTATTATGTTTATTAATCATTCATAACTTCAATACATACTCGTGGACGAGTTAAAGTTCGTTTTCGAACTGTTCGTTCATGTGAATCTCGATCACTAATTGGAATCGTGTCCGATAATAATTGATCTTTCATGTTTTTATATGTATCATTCATTTTTAATGAATAACTTTCTCTATAAATAAAATCTGAAAAAGATAATCTCAGATAATTTACATATCCAAATAGTCGATCAATTTAAAAAATAATGTTTACAACATCTCATACTCATATTCATATGAAAATATAATAAAGAAGAGAAAAACACTACTTTGAAGGTTGTATTGAGTATCCATTCTCCGATGGTATTAACATTGAATGATGAGGATATATATTTGTTACTTGTTCTTTTGAATCAACAATTGATTGAGGTAAAAATGATAATAGATTTAGATAATCTAGATACAAAGATAAATCGTTTTGTTTTATTAATTTAGAGTTTACATACTGGGTATTTGCGATGCTCCTCGAATATGTGACATTTGACTAGCATATGATGTTGATGTAGGGTTAGCAGTAGTTGATGATGGTGTCATATAACCGTAATAAGAAGAGAATGTGGAGGGTGGGTGTGGTAATGGAAAAATAGATGCTTGATTATGAGATGGATGTGTTAAAGCAGGGTTTAATGAATCTGAATTAAATAGAAAATATAGTTTTATTAAACAAAAAGAATGAAACTCACTTGAATGTAACTGAGGAACATTGAGTGGTCGTAATGATTTATTAGATGGCGATGAATAAGGACTACGTGATCGTTTTGAACTAATATTTGCTGATGCTGTCGTAGGAATAAATGATTGTGATGGTGATCTATTAGTTAATAACTCATGCTGAGGATAATGCGTATATTGTGTTGTATGAACGCCTATAAAAGAGTAAAGTCTTTTATTTATTTGAATATGTAAAACTTCTAATTTCTTTTACTGGGCGAATAAAGACTTGTCCATGATGATTCTTTTGCTGCCGTTTGTTGTGAATGTTTACGTTGATCTTCTTCGGTCAATGCACATTTTAATAAATTATACTGTTCAGATTTTTTTTCTTCGAGATCAATGAGTATTCGTTCTAATTCAAAAATATCTTTCGCATTATGTTCTAATTGAACTTTCGATGATGATAATGTTTTAGCCTATTAGAAAAAAAACAAGTAATAACTCGCGTATTTTCCAACAGTCAATATAAGATCTGTCAAAGCTAAATTCTTATAAATATTTAAAGAAAAAAACCTTTTCAGCACGTCGTCTTTGTTTATCAGCTTCATTAGCATCTGCTTCGTCTTTTTTTCTTTGTCGTTCACGTAAAACATGTCGTTTTAATGCATTATGCATTTCACTTTTTAATCTTGGTCGTTCAATATCCAAAACTGGCATTTTGCCTTTTTGTGTTTATTTAATAAAATTATCTGAAAAATAATAAATAATTTTCTCAATATCTGGCTTTTCGTATGAAGAAGCAGCAAAAAGAAAGAAATGGAAAATCACATGTAAAAACAAATTATATCAACAAAAAAAAAATAGTTATAATAATCATAATAAATTAAACAGGAAAATACAATTGTTCGTTTAGTAGGGTTATTTTTTTCTTTTTTAAATATGTATAAAGGAAAAATTTGGAAGCACACATTAACACGGGATTGAATTCATCGGAAACCGAGTACCACATTATGAAAATACTCATAAAGTTGCGGTACAATAGCGCGAATACTTGAATCAATTAAATCTTTTAAATAACTAGTTGCTTTTTCATCATCAAGATCCAATCGAAATTTATCGAGTAACTAAAAATGAAAGATTTTATTTCAATACTTATTTATTTTTCTATTACTTTTTTAACTGTCTTATCACGTTCTAATGCAATATCAGGAATATTTGCATCAAGCATAAGTGAAAATAAATTCGCAAATACATTTGCATGTCTAAGAAATAAATTCTAAAAGTTTGAAAATATAAAATAAATTCATATTTACTTTCGAAGAATAATAAAAGCTGTAAAACAATATCGTAAAAAATCGCTAAAACGTTTATCATCTAGAATTTCTATCATATCTTTTGAAACACGCATAGCTTGTGGTAATGGTTTAGGATCACGACCCATTATAAAACCAAAATCAATATGAAATAATTGACCGGAATCTCGTAATAATAAATTATCAAAATGTCGATCACCTACACCTAATAAATACATAATTACACAATATCCGGCTACAAAAAATAAATAATAGAATTATATTTATATATACAAAAATTATTTTACGAACCACAACTTTTAACATATGCATCTAAAACTTCATGTGGTATACCAACTTCACTTGAAGTTGCATCGTCGCTAATCGTAACTATTGCTTTACTTTGTAAGTATTGTCGAATTGTACGACTACGATCGAGTACTCGACGTAATGATTGAGAATCAATAAATTGCACAAAACCTTAAATTATATATATATGTTGAAATATTTCGTTACACATCATATGCTATTCTTTTTTCTTATCAGTATAAAGACGTCAGAGATGTAAATATTTATGTTATAAACTCAAGCATTCTACACTTCACTCTTGTATCTCGGATACCTGCAGAATTAAATTCAATTATATTTACCATATTTCAAACTTGTTGATAGAACTTTATATGGTGTTAATTTTAAATCAATATTTTCTTTTCGTAGAATCTAAAAATATCAAAAATAGATTAATAATCAACAAGTCACATTTACTGGAAAAATAATTAAAAACCGTGAAAAATTCGTTTTCGATGTTTATTTGACCTCTCACCCTCCCCTTCATGTTGGTCATCCAACACACCTCAAATTCGAAGTCTCCCTTATCGAAATACCTCAAGAAATGTGTTTTCTGAAAAATTGGTCTTCGACGTTTTTTTGACCCTGCAGATACACAAGCAATCAAGCAAACAATTTATTTCTACTGGGCTCTTCTCTACGAGAACGAGAACATATTTTTCTCCATAATTTATAGATAACATACATAGTTATCTAGTTTTTATCCTTCCTGCAAAATACTCGAAACTATCAATTTACATGACAATGTTTATTTATTTTAGTAAGAAAACTATCGAATAATATTTCTTTTCTTTTATCGAACTGATAATTAAATATTTATATTCGATTGGGAAATCTTTTGTTTTTTTCATATTAAACTTACACGATCCATTAACATAATGATTTGTAATATAAGTTGATCTTGTCGAAGATCATCACCATTTTTAAATATAGTGGGATATTCTTCATCAGTTGTTGTTTTAAATACAAATAGAAACGGTAATTTAGCACTCTGAAAAAATATTATAAATAGGTTTTTGAAAGAAAATATATTTTACTTTGAATATTTTAATTTTATCAGGATTAATTCCGCAAATTTTAACTTCGGGATCAAGAGGTAAGGGAATTGGATCAAAATTAAGAAAATTAAATTTAACGGGCGAATCATCACCAGCTAATAACAAATTACGAAGTTTTTCTTCCTAAATATTCAATTTATATAGATATATATAGATATCAAGGAATTAAACTAACTTTCACTTTAGCTGAACCTTGCATACGTTTAATAATATTTGTTAATTCTACAAGTTTATCAACAAATCTTTTTTGTGCTTCTATTGATAAACGTACTTCACGAGTTTGTTCATTTTTCTATATATGAAATAGGAAAATAGAATATAAAACTATTAGAACATTTATTTACGTTTTTAAGTGTCATAAGCAGTTTTTCTACAAATGCTTGATACATATCACTAGTAGCTTTGTCTTTTGCTGTTGTATTATTTTCACATTCAACATAAGAGTACCTAAAATAAATATGAAATGATCAATTAAATTCTAAAAAAAAATGGAATAATCTTATAGACCAGAATAAATAATTTGCAATAACTGGTTTTTCACATGCTCGTTGAATAAGAAATGTTGATAAATCAATCTGTAGAAATAAAATATGAGAAGTTTTATTTTTATTTTAAATAATAAGATTGTATATACTTCTGGAATAGATGATTTTGTTAAATCATTCGACTGAGATTCCGATTGCCCCATAGCATTAGCAAAATTTTCATAAACACCATTCGAACTAATAAATAAATATATCAGTTAGAATTCGATTTTTTATAGAAGTTTTTAATAATTAACCTCATCTGTTCATCTACAACAGAATCTACAACTTCAGCATTAATTAAATCATGACGTTCATATCGAAGAGCTTGTACCAATTGTAAAAGATACAAAAGAAGATCCTAAATAATTAACAAAAAAAATTTTCTTGCAAAAAATACAAAATTATTAATTAAAGTCTAACATCATCTGGTGCTTGTCGAAGTCTTGAGACTGCATATGAACGAACTTTTGGATGATGATAACTGGGACCTAATAATTCAAGTGCATCTTCTGTATCCATAGTAACCCATTGTTGTAAAAGATTAAGTGCCTGTTTAACTTCTTCTTCTTTATCCCAGTGGACACATTGAAGAAATTTTGCAAGTGCTTTTTTATGTTGTGATAAAAAGAATCGATATTTCCATACTAAATCTTGCTCTTCGATTGAAAGGAATTGTCCAGGTGGATAAGCTAATATTTGCATTAATCTATCTCGTTGTTCACTTGTTGGTTTTAAATCTTTATCTAAGGCTTTTCGAGCACTACGTGATAATTTCAAATGTTTACTTTCAACTATATTTTCCTATAAAATAAAATTTATATTTCTTAACAAAAAAACTATTCATTCAATTAACATACAAGATCAATTTCTGGATCATAAACTCCTTGATTCGTATAACCTATTGGATAATTAAGTACATCATCACATTTCTAAATTAATATAATATAAATATAACAAAAATCTTATAGAAAATAATTAAATACCGGTTCAAAATAAAGAACAATACATTCATTATCTTCAACCATTGTTCGAGAAAATTCAATTAATAATAACATTGATTTCGACGTTGAACGTTCTTTATCTAAACAAGTTCGTGCTTTAGCTAATGTTAATTGATCAAGCCATTCTTGATTTATTGTATGACCATCACATTGATTTTTAATTAACTTCAAAAATAAAAAAAACAAATAAATAAAGAAATAACAAAATGATTTACTTTTGCCATTCGACTTAATTCATCTAACATTGGATATGCACTATCATCATTCCATGTTATATTTAATGGTTTTGATGTTATTTGTTTTCTATTATATTGCAGATTAGTTGTTGTTATAACTGGTGACGAAGAAATTGATTTTATAGTTTGATTTGTATGATTACTAAGAATTTGTTCTTCATTGAATATTTGTTCAATTTTTCCTGGTGTTGAAGATTTTAATTTAACATCAGGTGGTACATTTGGCCAAACTTTTAGATCATAAATTCCTTGTCGAAATGTTCTACAAAATTATTCATAAAATAATTTCTATAAAAAAAACAAAATTTACCCTTCAGAATCAAATAATGATAATGTTGTACTTCCAATAATACGTATTTGTGTTGGTGATATTAGTTCATGTATCGATAATGCAAGTATTGCATGTCGTGGTAAATCACTATATCTTAATGGTAATGTTAACCATTCATTCCAACTTAATAATAATAAAAAAAAAGTTTAAATAAAATTAATAATCATTATCAGTATATCTTACTTCCATTTATCCGTAAATGATTTGTATGATGTTTGAATTGGCATACAGAGTGACTGTCCATCGGAATAAATTTGACAGAGTACATAAGGTTCACTGCGTTTTGAATCAGTTAAATTACGACCAAATGATGAACTAGTAGAGAATATTGTATCATTTAAAGATTGTTGTTGTTGTTGTGGCTGCTGCTGTTGTGTTCGTTCACCATCGATTGAAGAACTATGAGAAAAATAAAATGAATGGAATGCGTGAAATTAAAATTTATGTATTACATTTTTATTTGAATACGATCTTCGAGTTCATGGCTAAAAATAAAATGAAATTTCTCCGATGCTGCTGACATTTGTTTGACTAGATCATCTAGAATACTAAGAGACGAGTTTTTGAAAAATGATTAATTTACGTAAGAACACAAAAATAGAAAAAGTAAATCAAGAAACTGTAAAGTATCACCACATGACTGGCAACATCATAGATTGTAGCGATATTTATGTATGACAAAAAACTTTTGCATTGGTTTAGACATCAGAACCAATTGTTGAGATTGTTTATGAGATTATGATTGAAAAGAAGAAGAAGAAAAAAAATCTGTTGAGTTTTAAAATGAGTGTATGTTTTCAAGGAATGTTAGTTTTTTATTGGTAGTTACTAAAACAATAATAAATAATAAAAGTTGAATAGAGGATAAACGTATCAATTAACGTAATATCATAAATCAACAATATTTGTACAGATTAACTTGTCGTAGGAAGAAAATCTATGCTAACTTAGAGAAAAAGAAAACAATCATTTATACGAATTAATGCTTTGTCGACGATTTTTTACAATATTAAATAAGGTAATCATCTATCATCTATATTCTAGATGTCATTATTAAATAGCAGCTCAATACTGTTAATATTATTATTATGCTATAATAGTCATCTAGTACAAACACGACGTGTAAGTTGTATATAGCTTGAAAAATAAAAGACGCATAGTGAAAAATCATTATGCCTATTTGTCGTTTTAATGCTGAACATCCATTGTTTCGTGCTCCATTACTTTTTATATTCAGTATTATTATTATTTGCTTTTTAATCTTCACTTTACATGATCGTTTTGCACGGGTATTGATGTTACTTTAATGATTAATTCTCTACAATAAAATCTCGTTTGTTTTTATTTTGAAATATTATTATTTTAGGTAAAACATGGTATACGTGAAATAGATTCTAAACAATATCAATGTTTTTCACCAATAACCGATAATTCAGATGAATTTCGTAGTAAATTACTTCAACCATTGCTAATTCCACGAGTATCAGGTACGCCAGGTGCTGCTCAAGCTAGACAACATATTGTCTCTAAATTACGATCGACTAATACGTGGAATGTTGACTTTGATACATTCGATGCTATAACACCAGTAAAATATAAAAAATGATTTGTGTATTTTATAGAATTAATGATTTATTATAGGATGGTGGAGTTGAATTTACGAATATAATTGCTACACTTGATCCAACAGCAACGCGTCGTCTTGTTCTTGCTTGTCATTATGATTCGAAAAAAATTCCAAATTTTATTGGTGCAACCGATAGTGCTGTACCTTGTGCGATTCTACTTGATATAGCACTTAGTCTTCAACAACAATTAAACGAATTGAAACGAAATGTAAGAAAAAGAAAATATATATTCGAAAAAAAGATTATTTTCTCTATTAGAAAGGAAATCCTACTTTACAATTGATTTTTTTTGATGGAGAAGAAGCAGTTAGAGATTGGACATCAGCTGATTCATTGTATGGATCAAGGTAAAGATAATCAAATCTTAAAAAATATATTTCGAAATATTATTTAATTTAGACATCTAGCGACTAAAATGCGTAATACAAATGTCGACGGACAACAGAATATAAATCAACTTGATGCAATAGTAAATATATATACATATATTTTTTTATTCTCTAGAAAATTATCTTTCTAGGATATGTTTGTATTACTCGATTTAATCGGACATAAAGAAGTTCAATTTGCTAATTTTTATGATCGAACTACTGGCAAATATTATAATAGATTAAGAAATATAGGTTAGTAATTATTAAAGAATAATATAGGAGATTTATATCATTGATATAGAAACTCAACTTTTACGCTCTTATAATAATAATGGACATAAACGATCAGTATTCTCATCTATGGTACAAGGTGGTCATATTGAAGATGATCATATTCCATTCTTAAACTACGGTAAATCAAAAGAAACATTGAATTTTGTTGTAAAAAATATATTTGTAGATGTTCCAATTCTTCATTTAATCTCCGTGCCATTTCCTCCGACATGGCATCGAGCTGATGATAATGAAGCTAATCTAGATTTTCCATCAATTACACATATTCGAAATATAATGAAAGTATTCGTTATTGAATATCTTCATTTAAAACAGCAAATATGTTGAGAATGTCTTTATTTTAAATGAAGAAAACTCATCGGTTACACGACAAAAAAAATATATTGGTGCTCAAATTTGTATTTTTTTCTTCTTTTTTGAATACATTCCATAGTGATGATGTTTTTTTCTTATTAATTAACTGATATATAAATAAAATAAGATCTTATGATATATTAACGTCGACCAATAGATGTAAAATTAAGTGTACCTAATCCCAATGGAAAAAAGCTCATTGGACCTATTTCAAATGATATTCCTGGAAGAATAAAATCAGTTGGACAAGTACGACATCGGAAATTACAACATGGATCATTTGGAGTATCTTCTCTACCACAAAAGCAAAAACCAGATTCAAGTATACATGTATTTGGTATACATAATGGAGAATTTGTATTACGACGAATAGGTGTTGGTAATGTTAAAATACTTGTAATGGAAATAAGAATTAATAATAAAGACTTCATTTGATTTTCGATTGTGACTTGTAAGAAAATATAAAATTAGATTCAATGAGAGATAGAAAACAAAACACATCTGTTTTTCGTTCGCATTTAAGCAAATAAGATTTTATATTGTTTTCATCATTTGATATTACAAAAAATATTTCTTAGATCATTTTTCTTACTGAGAAAGAAAACAGTAAGATCGATATATTATTTTCGGTCAGGTAATGATAAATCGAGTGTACTAAAATCAAATGAACCCCAGTTCATTGTAAGCCATGGTTGATTAAAAAATTCAGGTCCACATTGAGTACATTTCATTGTACAACAACGATCATCGGGAGTTTGTGTTACACCACAGAAACAATACGAAGTATCAACAATGCAACTGTAAGGTGGACATGATGTTGGTGATGATAAAATTCCATTAAGAACAATAACAAAAATCAAAAGACTAGCAAAACTTCTCTTCATTTTGAATGTACTTTAGTAATAAAATGATGCGATAGTTTGAAATTATTCTAAGCATCAAAACGAAACATCTGTTTAAATTCACATAATCATTTATTTTTAATAAAAATATTTTCTTATTTTCCCCAATCAGAAAATCAAGTGATAGTAAGACTAATCGAGATGAATCTAACTTCCGATAAACAGGTGATATCCATCAATTGTAAATAGACAATCATAATGACCATTAAATGTTACAGTCAAGCTATAGATATACTATATCTCTTATTCAATACATTCTTTATTCTCCCAAGACATCTTATGACATTATTTTCTCGACGTGTTGATATTCTACACAAATAAAATCATTTCGATAATCAAAAGTTTTTTTTTTCTTCATATGATTAGTAATTTAGTTTGATTTTTGATCTATTAAAATTATAAAGTATCATATAAAGACTATGAAGTCAAACAAAACTTACTTTCCGTAGAACAAACATATTTCCGAAATGAATCAATAACATGTTGTGAAAATTGTTCTTGATTTTCTTCAATAAATTTTAATACAAAACAATCGGCATTGATAATTTTAAAACGATGTTTATAAAATTCTACATGAGCTCCAATATAAAAATCATTTGGTTGATAATAAATTGGCGCATCCGGATGACTATCTAACAAAAAAAAAATAACATAAATTATAAAAGAAAATAAATAAACCTGGTTTAGGAATTCGAACACGTTCAAGAAATTTCCTAGTTAAACATCCATATCCATCAAGTGGTTTTTCATACACCGATATAAAATCATCCGCTAATCGATAAACAATAAGAAATCGTCGACAACGATCATCTTCATTCGATGATTCCTATATAAAATTAATCGAAAATTTATGTTTCTTAATTTACTCTCACCAGAATTGCTTCGTAACGTAAAACACGTTGTTCGTTTTCGATTGATTTTCGTACAATATTTTTTGTTTTATCTTCACTATGTGGTGATATAGAAGGTAATCGATTAATATCAAATTGACAAAAATCTCTTGTAAATTTATCACAATCATATAAAAAGAATACATGATTGAATATTGTTATATGTTCACCAAGTATAAAATCATTCGCTTTTAAATAATTGATTTTATTTTGTTCACGTTGATCAAGAAAAAGATTTACAAATGATTCTAATAGGAAAAATTCGAAGAATCTTTCTAAGAATATTTTAGAATTTTACTGATATTATATGGTGAGTCTTTTGGTACTAATTGTCGACGAAGATAAATTGGTAATGGATCATAACCATTATTATTTCGATGAATTTCTCGTATTTCAATAGTACTATCAATCAAATAGACCTAAATATTTATTTAAAATCTTTTTTTCCCCCAAAATAAACTAATTACTTGAATAATAAATTTTCTAAAATGATCTTGATTATTAAACATAGCATAGAATCTTAAAATTTTTCCATCCATTTTTTTGTCTATAACTTTTTCTTCTATTAAAATATCTTTGAATTTATTTTGATTTTTTTCCATTAATTTTAACATATAAGGATCTGATGGAATTGATTCCGAACATTGTAATTCAATACCTTCACTTTCAAGCCATTCCTATACAATTAATTATATATAAATATTTAGACAAAAACAAATACTCTAGTAAATTGATCACAATCACATATTCGATAGATTGTACCATAAATAATTAAATTTTGACGTAGATTTAAATCACGCCAATTGTATGGTTCATTTTGATCATTTTTAGATATTCGGTGACGACGAATACGCATACCCTTTTGTATTAAGATAGTTTTATATAGAAATTCAATTTAATTCTACTTGATTTAGTGCACTATTTTTATAAGGAATTTCATAAATAGCAATCGTATCATCTTCCAGATAATAATAAATGATTACTTGTCGTATACGATATGATTCTAATGGACTTTCATGAATTATTTGTTTAAAATAACCATAAAATCGAAGTATCTATGATGAATTTATTCTGTATGTATTTCATGAAAAACTATTTGAAATACTTTTTTATCATAAAATAGAGTAGCTGGTACAAATTTTCGTGGTTCTTGTACACGTACTTTACCATAGATAAGTTCAGGTTGAAAATTATCTAATAATTGACGTTCATCTTCTGTTAAACAGATATCTGGTTTATATGTTTGACCGATACCAAATCGAGGTACCCGAATAATTCGATGACCATTTTTGAATGATAATGTACGTGGTACTATAAAATTAGTACGCTATAATGTACAAACTTCAAAGTATTTAATCTAGTTATTTGTAACACATACCGTTACATCTGAAAAACGATTACCGGGTAATAACGGTAAGTTTTCCATTTATTAACTTCGAAATAACTGAAATTCTTTTTTTTGATTTAGTTACAATGCGCCATTTTATTTATAATTAATATTATAAAAGCAAATACAGTATGCATTTTCGTTCAATAAAGACATTTCTATTTCTATACATACTTCCTTTTAAAAAATAGATATCAATCGATACTGTATGATGTCATCAAGAAAGATATTTAAAAAAAA